ACTCGAAGGCTATTGGCTCGAGGTTTAGTCATTCTTTGACAGGATGAAACAGTCCACAGAGCTACCCGGTTCACTGATCTGCGCATGCGCTGCCAATAGCGCCGCGCTGCTCTGGAGGGAGGAATTTCAGTGAATGAGAAATATGAGTCAATGGATTAAGTGAACGAGAACGATTCGTTCACCAAAAAGATTCGTTCAAAAAGAACGATTCGTTCACGAACGTAACAACACTAGCGTGCACCCCTTTCTAGTGTTTGACACATGTCAAGCACTCCCACCACCATACTCCGGTTAAACACCAAATTTTTTACTGCAATACAAGTAGTCACTGTATACAGGGCTTGACATTAACTCTTTTGCTCACCAGCCACTGTGGCTAGTGGTTTTCCAAAATTACTAGCCACTCAGCATTTTCACTGGCCACAATTTTGTTGCTGGAAAATTACATTTTTTAAGCTCTGCACGAACCAATGGCCGTGCAGTTTGTGAATGAAAAAAGGCTTCAGTTCAGGAGAAAAAAAGACTTTTTCCCATATGCGTCTTAAGCAAGACGCAGTACTCGTTCCTGTATCTCAGGGAACCGAGGTTACGTTAGTAACAGAGTACGTTCTCGTCTGTAGTTAATGGTTTAGTTTTCTGTTCTCCTAGCATTCCTTAGGGTTCCTACAGGGCTCTTTTTCCAGACTTCTCTGTAGACTTTCAGACCCTATTTCATAGTAAAATCAAATGATTGAGTGTGTAACAATTAAAGGTATTTGAATAAAGGTTCAATTCACAATTCGGTACTCTCACAATACTAAAAACTAGTGTTGTCACAGTAACAAAATTTCAGTAAATGGTACCAATACCAGTAAAATTTCTCAGTACTTGGTACAATAGCAAAAACTATTGGAACTATTTAACTATTTTATTTAGCTATTTGAAAATAAATATTTATTTATTTTAACGCCATATCAGAAACAATGGCTATATTCAAGGCAACGTTGACAATATCATTTCAATATATCATTTACAATAATATAACATTTTCTTAAGAAACAATCATTATACAAAAATATAAAAGAAACAACTATAGTACTGGTGAAAATCATATATCATATACAACTTTCAGTTTAATCAGTGATAAAAATAGAAATATCATTCCAAATTGGACATTCTATTAAAATATGTTTTACGCTCAAAAAGTTCTTACACAAGTCAGACTGGTTTATCTTCTACTTTCAATAAATATGAACGAGTGAGTCTTGAATGTCCAGCTAAGTAAATAGTACATTAAAACAGAATGTAGCCTTTAAGTATTTTTCAATTAAGTAAACACTGCTTTAAAAAAGTTGAGCAAAAAATCTGTAATAAAATGAAGAACAACAAGTGTTCTTGTTTTGTTTTATATTAAATAAAGACTGTTGCAAGTAGATACTTTACTCTCGGTTTGTGAATCAACCCGTGATAAAATGCTTTTTTTTAGCACCAAATCAGCATATTAGAATGATTTCTGAAGGATCATGTGACTGGAGTAATTTATTTCCTAGCTGCTGCAAGCACCACCACATGACTAAACAGTGTCATTCAAAACACCTCTCTTATGTGCTTTCAGCTACTACCATTAATTGTTTCGGGCAAAAATATATATATATAAATAAAATAAATAAAGAAAGAATTTTCCAGGGAGATTTTATATTTTCTATCGTCTTCCATTTGTTTTCCAGGACTGGGAAATTTGTCATAATTTATTTATAGTTTTCCAGGACGTGTGGGAACCCTGAATGTAGTCACGTGTTTTTGACCACCACCAAATGTGATTAAAAGCCCAAAACAAAACAGTGTAAACAGGGTTTGCATTTGTAGTTATTCCAGGGGTCGGCAACCCGCTGCTCTTTCACCCCTCTGCTGTGGCTCCCTGTAGCATATAGAATACCGCGGGGGATGTGTTCCCCCGACTTTTAATAAAACCTAAACTCTTCCCTTGCTCTTTTTTTTAAGTCTAAGTGTGTTCCCCTGCTCTTTTTTTTAAGTCTAAGTGTGTTCACGTAGACGTTTTCATGGGCCAGCGTGAATAAATCTAGATTTAAATTAAAAGAGACAAGATAGTCACATCGTTCTGGATACGTTTTATTTGTGTCCAAAACAATGTGAACATTACGGAGTGCTCAACACTCTCATGCAGTGTATGTTTCATACATACTCGAAGCCGGAGGGCGCTCTCGCGCTGAAAGTCTAAAACGGACTCCTAGAAGTAGTAAGAAATTTTGACGTGCCAGGAAATCCCTAATATGGACAAAGGCATCCAGCTATCGCTGTAACTAAGCTGAATAATAAGCATAAACCATAACTGATGAAACGTGAAGACAATATATGGTTTATGTGTGTTTTTCAAGTCTCCTCCAGGTAATAAATAAAGTATATGAATGATACAGTGCTAACTGACATAAGATAGCATTTATTACAGTACAGAAGCTATAAAATATATTGTCTGCCTTATTCTGTGCTAAAAATGGAAAAAGTGTTTGTAGTATATAATCAATCATAATCAAAAAATTGTCATTATGAAAATATATATCAAAAATATTTTAGAATACAAATGAATGGTTATTTAAAAGTAAGAGATAACAAAAGTTTTTTTTTTGTCAATTAGACATACATACATAAATAGATATTATTATTACATTTGACATTTCTGTCCCCCTCACTTCTGAAATGATTGCTACGCCCCTGCCTTGTAACATAACTGAATATAAAACTTTAGCTATATGCTGTGTTATCTTCATTTTAAGGATCAAATAGGTTTTGTGGCTCCACATGAAATTTATTCGGTGGCTCTTTTGAGGCTCAAAATGGCTCTTTTGATGTTGAAGGTTGCAGACCCCTGAGCTAATCAGTCCTGATGCATCCGGGACAGCAGAGAAGGAACTTTTTGTTCATAACCACAAAAAAAGACTGAGCCGAGTTTGTTGTACCTGTAGTCACACCAAGGGCAGCGATAGGGCTTCTCGCCTGTATGCACACGTTTGTGGCGTGTCAGATGGGACTGTGTGGTTGAGGCAAAATTGCACAGCTGACACTTGAACGGTCGTTCACCTGCAGAGCAAAGGCATATTAGAACAAGACATTGAAAGTTGATTTAGAAGACCTATAAAAGGTTTGTCTTGATAGACTTTGCTTAGTTAAAAATTATTTGCATTTGCAATTTTGAAAATATACATTTTGATTAGATTTAATTCTGCTTCTTTACATCCAAATTCGAATTGCAATTCTGCATCCTGTTTGCTCAATTCAAATTCAGGAACTAAACTGAAATATAAAAAAGGGCAGTCTCAATTTAATTCTAATTGTGCACAACCCTGGTGTGTACCTGTGTGTTGGCGTCGATGTTTGGTTAGGGCATGACGAGTTCCACCAGCAAATCCGCAGAGATCACACAGGAAAGACTTCTCTCCTGAAACAGAAAAGTCATGGATGAATAGCACTGTAAAGATTGAGAAGTTGACAGTATGATTTACACACACACTTGAAATTAGCCTGTTGCCGAGCAATGCAATGATAGCTAATGCAGGACGAGCTTCGAAGAACCTAACAATCCTGGATCATGTCAAATCATCATACAATATTTATACAATATAGAACACATTTTTTAAAACGTTGGTTGCAAGGATCAGGATCGTTCCTTGTCAAATGTAGTACCTAATGAGACAGCATGCAATTTCAGACAAACCTTGTATGTCTGTCCATACAAGACGCAACAATCAAACAATCACAAATAACAGTCTAACAGAAGAGTGTGTGTTCGGGCTCTATTTGCAAGCGCACCACTGTCTTGCACTCACAATGAAATAGTTGAGTACATAATCAAATTAATAAAAATTAAACCATTTTAACTTCATTAAAATAAATTCAGTGACTGATACAATCTTTGTCATACACTTGTTTGTTCAAACAGAATTCGTAGAAACATTTCTGTTTCCTTACTTTCAAGATCTGAGACAAATTGTCCATTGTTGCTTTCATTTATGGCTATTGAAGTCAGGCATAATGATATATACAAAAAAAAAAAGTCAACATTAAATCATATAATCAGTAGATTATTCTGAGATTTTCACTTTCATTGGATACATTGTTCCCAGCTGTGACACTGATGTCCTGAGTTGGTTTTATTTCTCCCCCTTTCTTGTACACTTATTTCATTTAAGGTGGTCAGAATTTGAGAAATCACATTTTCCTTGATCCTTTGACATTAGAGGTCATTATACTATAAAAACATAGTACAAGTTTTAAACTCAAAATGTTCTCAAAAAGCCCCAAAACAGCTTTGACTGAAACCAAGCTGCCAATAATAGAAATGAATACATCAGCATAAGATCAAAGCCTACTTCTACATTATTGCCTTTTTATCCCCGCCCACTCACACGTTATATGGACAGACAGATGAATTGGTAGAACAGGATCACTGGACTAAAAATAATTACCTTCTAAAGGATCCTAATATTAGGAAAGTGGCTTGTGATTTTTAACTATGTGAATGTTATCATAGAGCAGCCAAAACAACCTTTTCAGATTTTGTCTCTGTATGATGTAATAGTGCAAAGAAAGACTGCCTCTGCAGAATCAGATCAACACCTACTGCTACATCATCACATCTTTGGCCCCGCCTACTGGTGCATTAGTGGGATGAGAAGAAGAGAAGAGAGCAATGACGAGATCACTGCATTGATGTGCTCTACAGACATGTCTGTCATACCATACTGTATTAAAATCCCATCCAATTACTAATTTTGCATTGCTAAACTTTTCTACTATTTTTTGAATCTGGTCTTTGAAATAAAAAAAACAAAAAACAAACAAAAAAAAAAACTTTATTTTGTGTGGTAAAGTTAGTTGCATAGACATTCACCAAAATAAAAATTTCAGCATTCTTTTCTATTACCAATATCAACAATTGACCTGAGTCATGCAATAGGCTATAGATTGAATTATTTCCCCTTAAATATACCTTTTAAGATTGCAACACTGGCTGATCGATTATTGATAGATTATGACATCCATAAACCATCCCTTCATTGACTCTTCCAAAAACTATAATAAAAGTCACATTAAATTTCCTAAAAAATACTGCTTTCCCTTTCAGCAAATCACAAATTCCCTTGACATAAAAAGAACAAACTGACAATGATACCAATAAGACTAAACATGCTCCCACCACCTCAATAATATAACTGAAAAGGATTGTTTTCCTCCTCATTCAAAAGTCAGGTCTGTTCTTCCAGAATTTAATATCTTATGTTCTACCTTTGACTTAATTGATATATAGAGATATGAGTATCCAGATAAAATTCAGTTTACATGGTGTAAATGAAACCTTACTCAACAGTCCCGTATAGATTATTGGTTAATTTCAAGGAATTTAGTGAATTATGTTAAAGATGTCTTTACAGAACCTTATGTTAGCTATTTTTCTATCAATAAACAGCAAAATCAGAAGATGTAAAAAATAATTACGTACTGGAAAATGAACCAGAACATACTGACACAGATGTGCAGTTCCGAGATGATTCAGAAAATATCATTATAGACTTTTGGAACGAGGCAAATTCAACAAATAATTTCGGGGTAAATTGGGAATTAATGAAGCATAAAATCAATGCCGCAGCCATAAGGAGAGAAAAAGAACCAGCAAAACACAGAAGAGAAAATAAGGATACAATTATTTGTGAAATGTTAAAGCTCTCCGGAAATTGCAGTTTAGATCAAGAAGAGAAAAATAAATGATTACAACTACATTTAGATAAAATGTATAAATATAAAGCAAAGGGAGCCTTTTTTTGAAAAAGTTAAACATTTTTCAACATAGAAAAAAGTAAAGTAGATCTATGGCCAAATTAATGGACAGTTAACAGGACATTTGATGGAAATATCAAGATACACGGCAAGATTCTATGAAGAACTGTATTCTTATGACGACAAATTGATTCATGCACAGTTATTCTTAGATTCTAATAAAGAGGTTGCTAAAAAGATGAGTCTGAGTCTGCTATGAAAATGTGTGCCAAGAGATATCTTTAAATGAAGTACTTCATTATATGAACAAACTTAAAGACAACAAGTCACCTGGGAATGATGGTTTAATCAGTGAATTTAAAAAATACTTTATAAAAAGATTGTATAAATGCTCTAGAAATCTTTGCCCACCAGCCTCAGCAGCAGCACTTCTAGATTCACTTCTAGATGAATGTAGTTAAAATTGAACAAAGGCTAAAAAACATTAAATCCTGATCTCTTGATTTTTTTTTTTTCACATTTGAGAGAAACATTTGAAAAGAAAACATTTGAAATTGGTCTTTGATCCTAAAGCCAAAAGCATACTTTGGTTTTTACAAAAGTAGTCAAAACTGAACTATACTTGTGACTTAAGGGCAATGTACCCACACACACACACACACACACACACACACACACACACA